CTTTGCCAGGTTTGATGCTATTCCAAGGTTTGATCCCTTGACCTGCCGCTTGGAGTTATATTGGTGGAGACGCAATTGCTGCGGTTCTGAGTCCTGTTCTGCAGGCAGTGAAAAGAATTTTTAAATTCGTTGTAATTCTTAATACTGGGTCTGCGGAAGGCCATAATGAGAAATGGTTTCTGGACCGAAAAAAAAATTAATCACGGGTATTGAAAATGAGACTCTTTTGCGGTTGGAAAAGTCAAAAATCAAAGTAAAAATGAACCTGGTAAGTGAGTACATCTGAAAAGGTTCAGCTCGTGCGACGCTTAGCTTTCGTTGTATGGAATTCCACGTTCTGCTTTTGCTGTAGTGTTTTTGTGCAATTTTGTTGTAGTGTTTTTGTGCAAAGAACATTGAATTCCATATATGGATTTTTCCATTAATTTCCGTCTTGCTCGTTACTTGCCGCAAATACAGTCCTCGTCAGCAGTACTTCCTTTCTTCCCGCTTTCTCTTCCATACTGTCTTTCGGTGGAGCGGTGGGGATTTATTTGGTTTATACATGATCTCGTCAAAATGTGGGGAGTTTGATAGCAGTACGATGCTGTCATGTACTTAACTCAGACTTGTCAGCTTTCTCCCTCCTGAGCCGTTTATTTTGAATTCGCACCTGCTCTTTTCATCAATTGTATGTCCTACTTATTTGAAGACCACTGAGGGTGGTTTTTTTGTTCTCACAGATAACAATCATTGCTATACGTTGCAATAACATTTGCTACAGGAAAAGCAACGCGACAATGACGAGGAATCAACTGATGAGGTGCAGTACAAGGAGCCGGAAATTGACGAGCTGGTCGAGCAGCGAACAAGGGTCGGTAATACACAGAAAAATTCGTTTTAAGAGAGAGCTTCTAGATCTTGAGAGTGCCAGTCAGACCATTAAGGTGTCTTTAAGAATATCGCCGTGGTGATGCCTACTGCCCTTAAATTGGAGATTTTAATGTCAACTTGTTGGGATTTAAGTGTACGAAATAATTTGGCCGTCCTGGAGCAATTTTGTTATACTAACCGCGAAGTGGAATTTTCGTGCAAATTGACGTGCTCAAAATATGGTCAGATGCATTTAATGCTTTATGCGAGTGGTGTACTCATATCCATTTCCGAAAAATTTTGACAGCTTACATGTTTTAATAAAATCGCGCTCCAAGCAGTTTTCTATAAATACAAGTTAAAAAGTTTTTCAGTCGTAGCTACAGACTCTGACAATATCTGTCGCGGAAGATTTGCGAAAAGCCAATTGAGCACATCCTTTCAACAACTGCTGGCTTTTCCTGTGTTAGCTTTCACACGCGTATTCACAGAAGTAGGAACTCTCTTATGGGATGCATGTTATATGTAAAAATAAAATTAATTGTAAAATCTGTACTGCGTAAAATAAATGATGCCGAGATAATTCAAGGAACTGGAACAGTACGTGAAGCATAAGAAGGATCGAGCAGTACTGGAAGCCAAAACACAGTTGCGAGCAAATGATTAACT